GACCTTGGTCTCAGCTGTAGTCTTGGTCTCTAGTCTGGACCTTGGTCTCAGCTGTAGTCCTGGTCTCTGTTCTGGACCTTGGTCTCAGCTGTAGTCTTGGTCTCTAGTCTGGACCTTGGTCTCAGCTGTAGTCTTGGTCTCTGTTCTGGACCTTGGTCTTAGGTCTCCATGGGCTAAGCTGTAGTCCTGGTCTCTAGTCTGGATCTTGGTCTCCTGGGTTCCTCTAGTCCTGGTCTCTGTGTATTCGCTGGTTTCCACCAAGGTTCTGGTTCTTGCCTCTTCTCAGTCCAGGTCTCTGTGTTCCAGGAGGTGAAGCAGTACTATGAGGACTATCAGCAAATGAAGACGGAACAGGAGGCTGAAGCTGAACAGGAAGTTGCTCCAAGTAAACCCCATCTTCTCCTTCCAGGCTTCTGTTCTTTGGAACCTAACCTAGAACCGATGAAGAACTCATGGTTCCTTCTGATCTCTCCTCCTGCTTCTGCCTTCACAGGAGAGAAACGACCAAAAGTCAAGAAGCCCAAAGTGGAATTTCCAGTTTATGTACCTTCAGAGAACCAGAACCACCAGAACTATGACCAGACCACATCCATTGAGGACATTGAAGACCAAATGGACGACTGGCTGCAGGACCTGAAAGGTCCCAAGAAGAAGGTGGGAAACCTAGGGCTCTCTTAGACAACCTGTCCTTATTCTGTTCCTTCTGACCTCTGGCTGTCCCTCTGTCTTAGGTGTCAGAATGGACAGAAGACGACTTCAGCCTCCTTAGCAGGTTGATGGTCAAATTCCCTGGAGGAACTCCAGGCCGATGGGAGAAGATCGCTCAGGAGCTTGGACGATCCGTGTCTGCTGTGAGTTTGACAGCATCAGGAGGTTCCCCTAGGTCCGGTTCCACAGCCAGCCATGTATGTCATCTGCTGGTCCTGGTCCAGTCCCAGGCCAGAACCTTTGGGTCCAGAGGTCCGGTTACATAGACAGGTTCCCTGAAGTTGTTCTGGACTATGTCCTGGATCTAGAACCGCTTAGATTGGACTCATGGTGCTGATGTTGTTGATGAATCTTCTGAATCTTTTTTTCCTTTTCCAGGTGACGGCTAAAGTCAAAGAGTTGAAGGACAACGTGAACCCAACCTCAGGTACATAGAAGATGTTCTGGTCTTCATGTAGATGTTCTGTGGATCAGGTAGATGTTCTGGTCTTCAGGTAGATGTTCTGTGGATCAGGTAGATGTTCTGTGGGTCAGTAGATGTTCTGTGGATCAGGTAGATGTTCTGTGGGTCAGTAGATGTTCTGTGGGTCAGTAGATGTTCTGTGGGTCAGTAGATGTTCTGTGGGTCAGTAGATGTTC